GTCGTGGGTTCGAGTCCCGTTCGTGACACTAATTTTTCATCTCAACCACTCTTAACATAAAAATTATAAATCTATTTAAATCAGTGCTGTTAATAATTAATCTGAACTTAGCCCAGTTAGCTCTGCCAAAGTCAAGTGTGTAGTTGAATGGCACATAACTGGACACAGGAATTTATTAAAGGACTCAGGGTTATAATTGCTAGATGGGTTAGAAATTGTTAGATTTCTATTGTCGGCAAGAAGAACCTCAAATTTTGGTCTGCCTTGCAGGGTTGTGACCAAGTGATGGGTAACGATCAAATTTCAGATACTGAATGTTAATAAAGGAAAATGTTAAAGTACTGAGGATAGAGTGAAGTTTTTTTAACAGTTACATATGCATTTATTAGGTATCTTTATTACATAATATAGAAGACTTGAACCTGAGATATTTATAATTTATTACAACGCTTAAAAATAAAATAAAATAACATTTTTAACATGGAAAAAATAATTAATTCTCATCTTTTAACAATGACTTAGATATCAATTTAGTAATTAATCATTGTTTCACCTTAGGAATCTTAATTAATTTGATAAATGGGGCAAAGTATTTCAAAATGTTAATAGTTAATTCATACATCTGAATATATAATATGTATTTTATATAATAAAATATGCTAATGTTTAATTGATAATAAGCTGTAAGAACTCTTGATAACTAAATCTCAAATAATATGTATTTTACACAATTACAATTTCTAGACTTCTCACAACACACACACACACACACACGCACGCATGCCACACGTACGCACACACTCACGCGCACACACACACACACACATATATATACAAAACTGTATTAAGAACTGTCAATAAACAAATATAATAAAAATCCTATCGAGTAAAGAAACTTTACTATAAAAAATCAACTCACAGCCTGAACGATTTTTCAATTTGTCAAAAAAGATTGTTTAATAAAAGACTAAACATTGTTATCACAATTGAAAAATATAGTAAAATGTACATACAAAAATATAAAAAGTTATAACAAATCTATATACTTTATGTCAATAATTATAAAATTACATTAATAGTATAAAATCAGCATGCATTAAACATTAATACAATGCAAAATCTTTTCTTGTATGCTAGAATGATCATCCCATAATTATCTTATCAAGACTATTCTGCATTGTATAATGTCAATGAATAGTGATTTTAGTGTCAAAATGAAATACATATTCCAGTTCCCACTAAGAAAAAATTGACGCTTTACATACTAACTTAAAAAAACTTTTATTAAACGTGTATTTTTTTTTATTGCATTTAATACAAAACAATTTTAACGCACTTTTAAAGTAAAGTTTAACACAATCATTTTAATAATAATTCAGATATTTATGAAAATGGTAGAATGGAAGAGAAAATGTGTGGCTTCATTGAAAGGTTTAATTATTCTGTTTGCTTCAAATTTTTTTAAACAATTTCAGTTCGTTCGCAATATAAAATAAATTTAATTTCCCTCTTGATGGCACTAAAAGTAGATTAAAAAAGTTAATTTCTCTACACAATTTTAATAGATAAAATAATAAACTACTTAATTGGTTTTTAAATGGCTTCATAGGATGCATCTCGTGAAGAGAGGAAGAGTTCTAGATCATTAGCATTTTCCTGAGACGACTTTTTTCTTTTCTTCTTTTTTTCTGCTTTAGAATTTTCATCTTTGTACTTGTTGCCCTTCTTCTTACTTTTCTTTTTTCCCTCTGCCTGCAATACAAATTGTTATTTTTTATTTTTTTTGGAGAGAGAGAGAGAGAGAGAGAGAGAGAGAGAGAGAGAGAGAGAGAGAGAGAGAGAGAGAGAGAGGGAGAGAGAGAGAGAGAGAGAGAGAGAGAGAGAGAGAGAGAGAGAGAGAGAGAGAGAGAGAGAGAGAGAGAGAGAGAGAGAGAGAGAGAGAGAGAGAGAGAGAGAGAGAGAGAGAGAGAGAGAGAGAGAGAGAGAGAGAGAGAGAGAGAGAGAGAGAGAGAGAGAGAGAGAGAGAGAGAGAGAGAGAGAGAGAGAGAGAGAGAGAGAGAGAGAGAGAGAGAGAGAGAGAGAGAGAGAGAGAGAGAGAGAGAGAGAGAGAGAGAGAGAGAGAGAGAGAGAGAGAGAGAGAGAGAGAGAGAGAGAGAGAGAGAGAGAGAGAGAGAGAGAGAGAGAGAGAGAGAGAGAGAGAGAGAGAGAGAGAGAGAGAGAGAGAGAGAGAGAGAGAGAGAGAGAGAGAGAGAGAGAGAGAGAGAGAGAGAGAGAGAGAGAGAGAGAGAGAGAGAGAGAGAGAGAGAGAGAGAGAGAGAGAGAGAGAGAGAGAGAGAGAGAGAGAGAGAGAGAGAGAGAGAGAGAGAGAGAGAGAGAGAGAGAGAGAGAGAGAGAGAGAGAGAGANGTTAAAAATAAATAAAAAACAAGGAGCAATGAAGAAAATGTTAAATGTTTAAAAACTGGTTTTTTTTTGTTTTTTTTTTTAAGAGAAATTGATGGTATATATGTACTTTAATGTTTTCTGTATGCAATAAGAATAAATTGTTGTGTTGAAATTGTTTTTGTCCATGTATATGTATGTTATTAACACCCACTGTAATCCAAATTTTTCAGTACATAATCTGAATACTTCCCTGTGTCAATTAGTTCAGATTATGGAGAGCACTATAACAAACAGACCTAGCCCTAAATATAGTTATTCAATCTTCCTGATTATCTACGTCGACCTTTCACAACTTTTTCCCAGAGGGCCGCCATATTTCATAAAATATTAATCCCACTGTAAATTTGATTACATCAATTTTAAGAGCATTCAAAATCATATGAGATGCATTTGTTTTGTTTTTTATTGTAACCTTAAGCATATTTGGTACAAATTCAGAAGAAACTTTTAAGAATTTCTAAAGTTTATATTCTAAGAAAAGGTGCCCCTATTAATTATGCTTTAAACACACAGTACTTAATTTAACAAAGGTCAATTATCATCGACATGAAACTAACAATTGATTGCTAACCATTTGATTTTTTGGTTGCAATAGGTAAAAATGGTCATTAAGATTTTGAACTGCAATTAAAAAATATATATATGTATGTATGTATGTATGTATGTATGTATGTATGTANGAGAGAGAGAGAGAGAGAGAGAGAGAGAGAGAGAGAGAGAGAGAGAGAGAGAGAGGAGTTCACTAAGTAATGATAATAGGATTTTGTTTTATCAACGATTGCTCTTGAACCATCTGGTGTTCAAATGCAAACCCTTGAAGAAAATTGAGGACCCCTTATTAGTAGTATTGCACTGCAAGTGGAACTAAAGATATGGAGGAAAGGAACTAGATTATATGAAGGATATTTCCCCACATAACAAGATAAATTAATAAAAATTTGTAAAATTTAAATTTAAGGTGGTACCACTTAATTCAAAATGGAAAAACTTCTGTAATCATAAAGAGAACGGAAGAAGAGAGAGAAAAAAGTCATGATAAGAAATTGTCTATCTTTGGGGTGATGAATCTGTAATTCTGTCATTACGGATCATTTCAGTCTGCCTAAACATTGGTCTGTCATATGATGTTTCAGCATTATGCCATCTTCAGTATGTCCGAAGAACAAATCACAAACTCTTTTTACATATGGGGATTGGTGAGATGACCAAATGTCAAAATGCATCTGACCAACCAAACTCAGCGAGGATAGATAGACCTAAAAAGATAGATAACCAAATTTCACGAAATTAATTGATAATATCAATTTAATACTATAAGAAAAATTACCAAACACTTATTTTAAGTAGCAACATTTTATTTTTTTATTGAATTAAGTAAATGATAGAAAATTACCTATTTACATATTCAACTAAAAATTAAAATACACAATAATTTTAAGACTTGTTCTACATAAAATTTTACAGCATTTTGTTTGCCCCTGATTAGCTGTATCATGTTATACATGTTATATTATGGCTCTGTGTTTCAACCTTCAATAGAATAAGTGGACAAATATTCAACAAACAAAAGACTATTTACAAAAAAAAAAAAAAAAAAAAAAAAAAAAAAAAAAAAAAAAAAGTAAATAAAATGAACTCACAAACTGACAGACAGATAAGCAATACGTAAAATATCTTACAACTTTACCTTTAACTTTACTGCAAAAGAAGAATCAGCACATGCACTGTCTTCACCTCCTTCAGGGCTCTCACGACCTCCTGATATATTAATTCTACCAAGCCAGGCGTTAACTTTTTCAGATCCATCCACCTATTCAAAAACAAAAAATAAGCAAAAATATTGATTTAAGCTGTTTCAAGAACGAAGGTAAATGTAATAATTAAATGGTGAAATAAAAAGCATATATAGACTCCCTGGCAAAAATATCACAACCCCTATACATCTTTATTTTAGTTTTTGACCTAACCTGCGATATATTTACATTTATAGTGATAGTGATGGTTGGGTGGTTAGGGCGTTCAACTCGTATTTACTAGAGGGATGGATGGATGGAGGGAGGGAGNTATATATTATTAATGCATTTATCTTGGTGGCTGTAGAAATCCTTCAACCTGTTATGAGCTAAGGGCTCGAAATCCGGATCGTTGGAAAAGAACTTAATGTGAGTATGAACTATCTTTTTTAAAAAAGGATTGAACACCGCACTCACTCCATCATTCACCATTTCTAAAAAGACTCCATATCACATACAAATTTACAATGGTGTTTAAAACGGGGACTTAAAGTAAACCCCTCAAAAACCACCTTAATCGCTTTCGCCAAGAAAAGAAATATAGAAATACAAGGATTACACTTCTATAACAAAATGCTGCTATTAAAAAATGAGGTCAAATATCTAGGAATAATCTTTGATTAACCTGGAATGGAAGGAAGATGGACCTTAGGCAAATATTGGGTACTAAAAACGAAAATGCTATACACGGCAGTAATAAGACCCAGAATAACCTAAGAATCACTAATCTGGTGGAACAAAGCTCAACAAAAAGTAGCTACCCAAACATTAGGCAGCATACAAAGACTAGCAAACCTATGTATCACAAGGGCGATGAGAACAACCCCTACAAAAACGCATTAGAAACGTTGCTAAACCTATCTCCACTGGAAATATTCATACAAGGAGAGGCTAGGAAAAGCTCACTTAGGCTCCAGAAACAATTAAATTGGAAAGGAACTAAACAATTCGGGCATACAACCATAATCAGCACAATCAGACACCCATTATTAGAAATGGGGACTGACTACATGATCCCGGAAACAATCTTCACAACTTCCTATAAAGTCTCAACGGACTATAAAGGAGAGGAAGAACACAGAAGAGCATCAGATACAATGATATGGTACACAGATGGCTCCAAAACAAACGAAGGAACCGGCCCGAACAAGCCCAAAACATGAGCAATCAAACTCATTAGGGAAGTACACTTCGGTCTTTCAAGCGGAAATACAAGCCATCTATGCTTGTGCCCTGGAAAATCTTAAAAGACGTTACACTGACAAAACATCCTCATAAGATTAGATAGCCAAGCAGCTATTAAAGCATTAGCATGTAAAAGAATCACATCAAAATTAGTCAGTGAATGCATACAAAATCTCCAAAACCTGGGGAAACACAACAACCTGATGATATCTTGGGTGCCAGGGCACAGGGGAATTTTGGGTAACGAGAAAGCAGACAGACTGGCCAGAGGAGGATCTGCAAGACCATACATAGGCCCGGAACCTATTCTTGGGATAACAAAAACAAATATAGAATCCTCCATCGCAGAATGGATTCAAGCAAAACAAAAGGAGAAGTGGATAAACTCTAGCGGTGCTAGACATAGTAAACTTATGATGAAACAACCCTCACTGAGACTGGCAAAAACACTGCTGCAATTGGAGAGGGCCAAACTCAGAGGAGTGGTAGGACTACTAACCGGTCACTGGTATCTGAGAAAACATCTACATAACATGGGTATATACATACAGCGATGATCCCATTTGCAGATTATGTAATGAGGAGGAGGAAACAGCCACCCATATCATCTTCGAATGCGAAGCAACAGCTCAATGGAGGTTTAACCTAACGTACGGAAAAGAGTTAGGGAATCAAATTGCAGCAGTAACAGCCAATGACCTGATACTTCTAAGAAGAAGGATTGAGTCTATTGACTGAACTAAGGAACGAGGAAGGTACAATATGCAGCCAGAAGGCTGCAGTGCCTGGGGAATACAAGCCCCGCTTCCCAGTATCCTTTTCTACCATACCATACTGTCTGTCTGTCAAGACAAATATGGTCCTCAAAGGCCATGAAAAAAATACTCAAGCGTTCCCATATCGTTAGAACCGCAGACTGTCCATGTGGAGGTGGAGAACAGACCTGGACACAAATTATTCAAGATTGCAAACCCTGCTTCCTAGTAACCTTTTCCACCATACCATACATACAAATAACATAAGAAAAAAGCCTCTAAAAATTGAATTAAATGTTCTAAATTCCACCTTCTTGAAGAATACAAGCCTAAATTGTTCCCTGACATATTTTACTGGTCTCAAGTGTTTAACCTGCTTATCTTCTCTCTATGAGAGCACTGGGTTCCTGAATCCTTTCTATGAGGTTGTTCTTAGTTGCAACAGTATGGAATAGATTTCATTATTAAGAGTTCCTAAAATGTAGAAGTCCATCCAGGTTAAATCTAATCTAGTTGTTTTTTATGTTCAATTTTTTACAAAAGGATATTTTTTGTTTACTTTTTATTACTGTCATTATTTTTGATAAAAGTTTCAAATCTTAATGATAAACTTTTTAAAACCATTTTTAACTGAATAATCAAATTTTAAGCAATTAAATGTCAATTTTATACTGGTAAGTACATGTGTTTAAAGCTAACTAGTAAAAGCAACTTTTCTCTAAACACCATATATGTCAATATTTACAGAGCCAAGAAAATCTTACTTAAACTTTAGACAAGAACGTAGGAAACTCAGAAAAATTTACTTTCTGATTTTTTTTAAAACTTTGTTTGCTTAAGGTTATAATAAAAAAAGAAACAGTATTTTTAATGCTCTTAACATTGATGTACTCAAATTTGCAGTAGTATTATTAATACTTTACAAGATACAGGTGCTTTATAGGAAAAATTGCGAAATGTTGAAGTAACAAGAAAAGTGAAATATCTCAAATATAACTCAAAATCAGACTATGGACAATAGGGAATTTTCAGTCCCATTTGACATTTAGAATAACCTCCTGAAGTATACGTCTGTTCATGGGCCACCCTGTATAGTTGTCAACTGAAGTCTACTGAAATTGTAACTAATATCAAATTTCAGTCCTTCAATTATTTTATATTTTCAGCCCCCTTTCATCCAAACAGCTTTATATATAGTAAATGTTACATACAAGTACTACCTTATTTTCAGAGGTTTGTTTATACAAAGAATTAGAAGTGGGATTGTCATCAGGATCCACATCATCCTGATAACCAGCGACTAACGGATTTTCACCAACATCGCCATCACTAAAATAAGAAAAATATAAGTCTAATTAAATATTTGACTGACAATGAGATTTGTACATCTTCATATTGATTTAAAAAAAAAAAAAATTATCAATTTTTTTAATTATTTCAATTTTGATAGCAAACAAACCTATCAGTGTCAAATACTGGCTCCTGCACCTTGGGAGATCGTTGTGTTGGAATCTCTTCGAGAAATGACTTGTCCAATAATCCACCATCTGGAATGAACTCTTCAACACTTGTTACAACTTGAGATACCACATTCAATGTGTGGTCGGGTGATCTCGTACTTGGTTTGTTGTAAGTCTGACTATTGGATTTCATTTCGTGCATGGAAGTTGATCTATCAATCGGCATACCTTGACCAAGAATGATCGAAGGAACATGTGCAAGAGTTGTGTTTAAGTTAGCACAGCTCTGGCTTAAATTCACTCCAGAAGAATCTGCTGCTTGCCTTCTCCTTTTGCTAAGACTTTCTAAGAACCTAGCAATGTTTAATGTTGGTATTATTAATGATAAACTGTACATATATTAATTGAATATTAATGAAATTATTTACAAATTATAATCAGCATCAGGCCCATGCTGGTATATATCAAGTTCTTCTACAGTGAGATTCAATTCCCGTGAATTAATTTCTAACTGGCACAATAGAGTTTCTTTTTGCAATTGAAGAAATGGCAAACAGAAGAATTTGTGGATATATTTTAAACCAAAACCATTCGACATTGACGCTTCTGTATACCTTATTTGAGCAGCTCCTTTTGGCCTTAAAAATGTTCACATATAAAAAAAATAAAGCTTAAAAATTATTTAAATTTATCACAAGAAAATACCTGTGCAATGTTTCTATGAAATATGGTACATCCTCCGGGTTAAGGGTTCTATGATGAGACATATCACAATGATTTCCTAATATCAATACAGGGATGTCCGTGGGAATTTTGACTATTTCCTTTTGCACATAATTGAAAGTCCTAGGGAAATAATTTTTCATCAATATTCATTCGAGAAGAGGAGTAACATTATAAGAAAAAATATAATAGCAATATAAATTGTTTTTATATAAAGTAAATAAAAATGAGCTCCTCTTTTCCCTCAAACATCTAAAAATCAAATCATTTATTGGATTTTAGTAACTACTTAGGACTGAATTTTTCACCATAGGATACATCATAAAGAAGTAAGAGGATAGAAGTATGACTGAAAACAACCCTCGTAAAAGAGGAAACTCAACCCAAGAATACTTCAGTGTATCAAAAATGAGATTATAAAGAAATCTACAATCCACTAACATTCAGGACCACGTGGCCCTTGGCCCAACCACAACCATCTTTCAAGTTGAATAGATATAGAAAAATGTGCACAAGAAATAAATAACAAACATCTCAAAGGTGCAACAATAATACATAAATAGCCAAGTAGCTCTAAAGCCTAGTCCACATTTGGACTCAAAGTTGTGCATCATTGTTGTGGGGCTCAATCTCCTTTGAATCTGGAATTTTGTGATTCAGCCCCGCAACATGTCCCCTAGTATCTGGAGAATATTGTGGGTCTACATGATACAAGATTTTGAGGCCCATCGAAACGGGATTCAGTGATACAATGTTGCGCAACACTGCAAGTGTGGACGCATGTTCCGGGGGCAGCCAGAGTGTGGCTGGGTGTTTCACAGTAAGGGAAATTGAATTTCTAAGTTTTGTGTTTTATTTAAACCCCTTCGGTGCAACCATTTGCAAAAGATTTTAAAATCTTGAGGTGTCTTCCTTAAAATATTGACAAATCCCCATTCCACCTTCTAGCCTTAATGTGTCCAAAAGATCGCGGCATTTATCATTGTTGTTACTAAACAATATTTGGACCCACCATCTTCTTTGATTTCTTTCATTTCTATTTTAAATTAATAATAACAATGACAGAAAAATATCCGTGAGGTCTAACTCCTGAGACATTTTCTAGGGAACTGCCTCTATAGTGTAGACGTGACTTATTGTGGTGGGGCAGCCCCAAACAGATGCACAACATTTTTTTACCCTGATGTGGACTAAGCGTAAAGAATCTGCAAGCCTTCAATATCAACTCAAACATTGTCTGGAACTGCCTGAATAACCTAAAAAATGGATTCTACAGATAGCTTAATGGTACATATACTAACCTAACCATTTTTTACCTCAACCCTACATAACTCCTGTAGGAACCCAACCCCTAACCCATCCTTAAACCCTTCTTAACTAACCTAATCCATCCCTTATAACTCAACCTAACCTAACTGTCCCTTACCCTAACCCTACCTAACTCAATACAAACAAAAATTTTGTATCCAGCCCAAAAACTTAAGTATGTTATAAAAGGGACCCTTGAAACATCACATAATACCAAATCCATTTTATGGCACAAACTATAGCCATTGTGATAGAAATCAAAAATGAAGTCAAATATCTGGGCATCATACTAGATAAAACACTAACGTTTAAGAAACATATCAGCTCTATCATCACAAAGGNTAGCTCTTAAAGGGCCATACCCTGAATCATTATATCTATCTATCTAACTATAGCCATAATAACAGCAAGCCATAGAAACAAATAACAAACACTGCAAAAGTACCACAATAACATATCAGACAGTCAGGCAGCTCTAAAGGATCTTCAAGCCTACAATATTAACTTAAAAATAGTCTGGAACTTTATCTGCAGATACCTTAACCGAGTGGGTCTCAGGTAATGAGAAAATGTCAGACAACGAGGCTGCAGATAAACTTTTCTAAAAAGGAGTCTCGGATCAACTCATTGGGCCTATGGCCCTACCTAATCTAACCTAACCCATCCCTTACCCAACCCTCCTTAACTAATCTAGCCCATCCTTTACCTCAACCCTACTTAATTAACCTAATCTGTCCCTTAACCTAACCTAACCCTTCCCTTACCCCAACCCTACTTAACCTAACCCTTCCCTTACCCCAACCCTACTTAACCTAACCTAATACATCCCTTACCCACCCCTACTTAACTAACCTAATCCGTCCCTTAACCCAACCCTACTTAACCTAACCTAACCCTTCCCTTATCCCAACCCTACTTAAGTAATTTAATCTGTCCCTCACCCCAACCCAACCTAAACCATCCCTTACCTAACCCTACTTAATTAACTTAAGTTGTACCTAACCCTAACTCAATACAAACTAATTTCCTGTATCCACCCCAAAAACATACATATGTTAAAAGGGACCCTTCAAACATCATATAGTCCGTTAAAAAAAGAACTGGTCTCTTAGGTAACTGAAGAACACTACAAATAGTGAGAATGTAAGCAAAAAAAAACTGCTCGCAAAAATAATCTAATGGGTGAAAGAAGGAAACCTACTTAACAGAAAGGAACAAAATATTTTTTTTTTTCTTTTTGTTTAAGAATTACCATACAGAAATGATGAACAGTCTAAGAGAGAAATGATGGTCAATGAATGAAAAAATAGTACCTTTTATAAAGATATTCAACCTGATATTGAAATAAGCTGGTACCACAAAAGTTCCATTCCCAAAGGGTATTACAAAACAATTTGTAAGCTAAGAGCAAACCGCGCCGCCATACCAACCTAGTGTGTGGGGTTACATTCATTTCAATGTATTTTTCTTGGGGTTGGTTACGTGCTGCATCACGCCATGTCGCGCTGCCCTACCGACCTAGTGTGCGCCCAGCTTAACAAACCAAGGAGCATCAAAAGATATCCTAACTTTTTTATTTTTTTATCATTTATTTATTTATTTTTTGAGGGCTATCAACCCTAGCATTATTTAAACCTATCAAGCCTAACTACTTTATTTTATAACACCTATATCCTATTTAGTCTGTTGTGTATAACTGATCCCATGTGTTACTTTAAACATCATCAAAGAAACTTCTTGTTTTAATCTGGTTTTTCAATTTATTAGAGGGTAGAGCAGCATGAGTCTGGTGTATGCTTCCTTGAGGTGTTTCTTTATAACGAAGTTTGAGATTAGCTGTGCATCCAAGTAAACTCGTAAGTATTTTAATCCATGGACACTTGCATTACTACTGACTTCTTTATTTTGAAAGGCTACTTACTGGGTTTTGTAGTTGCTTTTTCTACTTAAGGGTAAATGTTTTTGCCACACGTTTATCTGAATTAACTTTCAGGTTAATTCTAGTGTGTACTACACACAATTAGAATGATTAAAATCAGCAATTGACCAAGACCAACCTCCTGGCATTGCCCCTTCAGATTTTTACTTATTCCAGACTATTCTATTAATGGGAAAACTTTACTTCAATTGAGGACCACTGAAAATGTCATCAAGGATTTCATTAATGACCTGAGAAGAGCTTGTAGAACAGCATTACAAAATTACATGAAAGATGGCAACAAGTAGTGGAATAAAATGATTGATATATTGTTAACTAAATTTGCTTATAACTATCTGAAATTTTCATTGAATTTACTATTTACAAAAAATAATTCTCTATGAATTTAAATTATAATCAGATAAATATACTTTTATTTTATATTGGGCTAATATAATTTTTTTTGTGAATCCTCACATGGTGTGTTAATACTTTTTACCACTCCTGTTCAAGACATATAAACAAACATATTCAAAAGCCACTGAATGCCATGAGAACTCTATTGTGTAGCTGAACTAACATATAAGGAATATTATCAACAAAAGCTTAGATTGTCATTGTCAACAGGAGAAAGAGGTCAGAATGCACTCTACCGAATCAAAATTTTATATCACAGCACAATACATAAAATGATTAAATGTATACAAAGGTGGCAATTACTTTAGATTAGATAAGATTTAATAACATTATGTATCATAAAATTTAATTACCAAACTTTTGTTATATCCAAAACTAAGATGACGCCATGTGTCCCCTTGTAGACGTCAATGAATTCTGCATCCAAGGCTGGTGTGTCACATTCTTTAAGTTTGAGACCTTCGATTTTTTGATTAGTCCGTTTCTTTCCTTTATCGACAATATCCCACACCTCCACTTTCACAACATCATCTGTTGTTTTATAATTCCATTGTATGCTCGCTACCTAGAAAGAAAAAACAACATTTTTAATTATTGTTTTAATTAGTTTTCCCGCTTATTGAAATAAACTACACAAAATTATAGTTAATAAATATAGGCAAAAAATTTCTCTGAAAGTAACATGAATTAATTATTAACAAATAATAAACTTTTATTAATTTTTGTTAAATAATTATAAAAAATATTAGGGATAAGGCAAATTTACAAGAAAGAAAAACAAGGAAGAAATGAAGAAGCTGAGGGTTTTTTTATCTTTCAAATTTGCCTCATCTCTGACCTTCTTTATATAGTTATAATATTAAAGCTGATATCAATCATATCAAATTAATTTTTTTAAACATTTAAACATACTTGAATTTCTTCTGTGGGTATATATTCTTCAAGAAATTTTTTCCCTTGAAGCCGATGAAACAAACAAGTCTTTCCTGTACTCCTGTCACCCTTTATAATAATTTTCACTGAAACACAAGTTAATCAATTGTTTTATACTGTTTTTGTACAGTTAAATGCTGTACAAATGAATTTTCATGCGTTTAGTTATTACATCATTAGTTTGGAAAATCAAAAACACTTCTGTGTATGAGTCAGAATTCTGTCCATTTTGATTGTAGCACATAAAAATCCAAGATTTGTTATAATTGAATCAAAATATTAAAACGACTGACTTAACATGTTTATTTGAACTTTCCATTTCAACCAAGGTTTTGAAGGAAATGGAGCCTTCTAGTCAGTTCAGTTTTCTCGTCCCGCATAACGAGTAGAATTCTCACAATGAGCAAAATATCCCATAACAATGACAAAAGAAGTTAAAAATAATCCCGTTTTATTTGCAATTTAATACTTCCTTGAAAGCTGATTTGTAATTTTTGTACATTATACTAATGCAACTTATTAGCATAATGAATTAAACAACTTGCATACTAACAAGAATAGTATTAAAGCCTGATCAGTGGCAGTCAAGAAATACATAGTTCAGGAGAATCTATTGGTAAAGTTCATTACAACGAGAAAAAAAAAAGGTATTGGGCGATTTCAAATTAAACTAGCACAAAACTTCCATATTTAAACATTAAAAGAATAGTTATTTTTGGTTTTCTCTTAATTTTTATTTTGCTTTTTAAATGCAAGAAAATAGCTATATAACAGTGTGTGCCTTTGAATGTCCTTGTATGTTAAGTATAGGTATAAATTTCTGTTTTGAGCCCAGATGTATGGTACACCATTGGGGACAGCATGGAAAATCTGGTATATGTTTTGTTTAGTTTTTTATTTACATGGGAGTTCCAGTTAGACTCCTACATACTTTACAGCCTGTTTTTTATTTATTTATTACATTAATAGCAAATAGCCAATAATCCAATATATACATATACATATGTCAATATTACATTTCTTATACAACTATTTGAATTTTCGTAAGAAGTGCAAAACAGATTGAGGTCTATATCATATTGAAGCAGATTCTTTCTAATAACTGAGGACAACAAATCAAATCATGTAATAATTTTTCAAGAAAAATAACATCCAAAGCAAGTCTCAATTAATGTTTTAACGTTCATAATAGATGTGATATAATCATAGGAAACTAGGTCAATTTTTGGACCTAGTTTATAGGCACCATATTTAAGAAATCTGTTCTGACATATTAAATTCTGTGAATATATTTTTGATAATTTGGTGACATCACAACTGAGTTAAATTCCAAGATGGGTATCAATGTAAAATAAATTTTTAAACAGTTAACACTATTAAATTCTTTTGTATTTCTTTTGAAGAAACCAAGTAGTTTTATAATTTTATTTACAATAGTTTAAACATGTAGATTAAAGGAAAGTGAGGAGTCAAAAATAAAATCTATCCTTAATATTAATTAGAACTGTTAGTTCAGTTTCCCAGTTTTTATATTTACAATTAAGAGGTTTTCCTAAGGTAGTAAATGTCGACATTTTTCTATATTTAATTTGATATTCCGCCATCGATGCTCTTGTACTGCACATTCACTCTCCATATACACAAAATGAGATATCTACCAAGTACTGAATAGCTGTCTACTTGGACAACCAGGCAGCAATGAGGGCAATTACAGAATTGGTTTAGGATTGCATTCGGGCCCTGTCAAACAACAAAATTACCATTAATTTAACTAGGGCGCAGGGCAGAGGGGCAATAAAGTGGCTGATAAATTGGCTAAGGCAAGTTCAATGAGGAAACCTACTGACCCTGAACCCTTTTGTGTCATACCCAATTGCCAAAAACCTGGATCCATCTGACAATGGATAAAAATAAGTCTTAGGTTCAATGTGAAGGTAGATTGGGCCAGAAGCATGTAAGATGAGTTCATCAAAGAACCATTGCAGAAACTAACAGCAGAACCACTAAATTTAGGATTTTTTAGTACTAGGATTGTTGGACTGCCAGTCAAGAAGAGACAGTGGAACATGTCCTCTGTGCGAAGGCCTATGCAGGTGAGATTCCTACTCCCAAGAGGGGAAAAGCAAGAACTGAAGGAGTCCTTAACAAAGCTCTGAGATCTGATAGAAAGCCTTAAGATGAATGAAAAGCACGATAAGCCGATATTGGTCGTGATATGTAAAATTGTAAAGAGTTCGACTCCTTTTAACCTTAATCTTATATGTTTTTCACATTCCTCTGAAAATTGATAGAAAACAAGATAAAGAATATTATAACAATTGATTATTTTATTTGTTCACTATTAAATCACTACTCATGATATATTTGCAGGTCCAACAAAGATGCTGAAGGAATTTATTGCTGGTTTTGCAATCCTGCTCTTTTTGGTGTTCTCAGCCTACAGTGAGGAGGACAACTTCACCGGACTAAACACACTGGAAAAGACATATAAAGATTTGCAGAAAAATATTCAAGAATTGATAGAGAAAATTGAGGGCGAAGAGGATAATCACAAGGAATGGGACAAAAGGTTAAAAGATTTACTGCAAAGAACTGACAAAACAGAAGGTACACTTTTAGAGATGCTTACAATACTTCAAATCACAACTGCAGAGATACAAGATAAAAAAGAGTTATCAAAAGAAATCAAAGAGCTAATAGAAAATTTCAAAAACAATGATGTCGAAAATGTGAAAACAAAAATTGTCAATCTTAGCGAAGGAAAAGTTTGGAGAGTTATCAGGCAAGTCTATGACTCAAGGGAATCAAACTTTGATTTGATAATGAATATTGGAGATTTGGTAAGATATCCATATAATCTCTACATCTACAAAGCGCTGAGAATGGAAATGGTAATAAATGGGCATCACAACGCTTTCAAGCAACTACAACTATTAAAAAGCTTTGTAAAAATTGAAGACAATGTCAAAAATGAGCAGGTTAGAAATATTGAAGTATCTCTGAAGGAAACCATAAAAGAAAAGGCTGATTTGGCTTTAACTCATAACACATCGATGCTAGAGGTTTCCCAACTTTCTAATGAATTGTTTGATTACAATGAAGAACTTTTTAGAAATTTAATGAAAGAAGTTATTAACACAGTGTATAAAAGGATTGAAACTGTTAAAATTATTGACTTCATAGAAGATTTTAATGAAACACAACGAGATCTGGCTGTTAAAATATTATATGACATCATGACAGAACAAAAAGATGTTATCTTTAAGCAAGCAACTACTCTCACTTTGCTGAAAATGTCTAAATTATTAAAGGAATCTAATACAATTAATGTTAATGATTTGTACATAACAAAACTAACTGAATGCATTTCCAGAAAGAATTTTGAAGAAGGTAAAGCCATATGTCAAATAGTCTATGACTTTGACAAACAACTGTTTTTTGACCTCAACAAAGCATTCATTGATAGTTTTTACAAAATTGGTAAAATCAAAATAATTGACTTTATTCAAAGTTTAAATAATAAAGAAATGGCGGTGAACAGCTTCTTACACATTTATGATCAAATAAATGAAAACAATGATTTATTTGTGAATGAAAACAATGCAATTTTTTTAATTAAATTCTACAATTCCATGAAAAATTATACAATGACAATTCAAGATGTAAATGATAAAATGAAAGAAAGATTAGACAGTATTTTGAAAACAATGCCAGATGTAAAAAATAATTTGGTAACTGCTGTACAAAGTGTTTTAATGGATTCCAGTTTATCCCAAAAACTCCTCCACCGAATAAACATCTATGATAAATCCTACTTCAACAAAATAATGTACAACGTTATTAAAGGTTTTTATGAAGGAGAGGACAAAGGAATAGTTTTAAATCATATTAAAAATCTTAAAGATAAACAGCAACAATTGAACAGTTATCAACTGCTCTATAGCATCATGAAAGAAAACAATGATCTTGTTATTACAAACAAAACACTTCTTATTATCCTCAAGTTCAAAGACGATGTTGAAAGCATAAACATTGACGATTTAGACCTGGCATTAAACAAATACCACAGTGAACTTATCAGCAAGCTTCCAAATGTAAAATTTTTAATGAAGGAGAGATTTAAATATTATATACTGAATCAGAGTAACCCAGTAGTTCTGGACATGATGGATCAAATTTCTCAATACAATATAAATCTTGTTAAAGAAATAGTTGATGAACTTGTTAGAGATTTCTATGGAAATGTGAAGCTTAGCTGGATCCTTCAAAACTTATTTAAGTTGAAATACATAGAAGAGTACATAATAGGCTGTATAGTAATTTTTGAGCATATAGAAAAAAACGGCGATTTGATATTCAAAGAAAAAACTGCCACAGATCTTTTTAATTTACACTCATCAATAGACAAAATAACCAAAATGCCCAATTATAAGAATGCTGTCAGCAATATTAAACAGCAAGTAGACTATTTAAAACAACGAATCCCAAAAGTTTGGGATTTATCAAAGCAAGAGATAATTAATGGTCTAATTTATTACAACAACCTTAACGAGACAAGAGAAATTGCAAAATATATATATGAGCATAATCCCAAAAAGTTTGAGACTATCATAAAAGCTGTTGTAGATGATGCTTACAAAAAAATATCAGTTACAAAAATTCTTGAATTTGTAGAAAGTTCGAAATACATAGGTATGCACATCCTTGGATATATTGCAGTGTTTAAAAATATGCAGAAAAATAAACACTTGAATAATGCCACAATTTTCCATCTAGTTTATAGAATGAAGACACTTATGAATGCAGGAAATTATGAAAAAGTGCAACAACATTATAAAGATCAATTTGACTTTTTAAAACTAAGGATTCCATATTCAACTAAAAACATTGTATTTGCTGAAAAAGTGTGCATTAAGAGCCCTATTAGACAGGAATTCCTCTTTGCAGAAAATGACCACTATTGGTTTGATAAGCAAAGGCGCAACTGGTTTACTCTTGTATCGAAAGGAATCAATACAAAATCCTATTTTTTGTTCGAAAGGTCTGGTGAACATTTTCTTCTAAAGAACACATACTACAATGAATATGCCTACAGTTCTCTTCGGTATTTCAATAATGACTTCACAAGAAGGATGATATTTAGTGCCACAGACAAAACCTTTGGAAACGATAGCCTCTGGGCAATTGAGCCATATGGCGATAACGTCTACATAAAAAGTGTCAAATACCATGAATACCTCTACTCTCCAGCTAATTACTATTTGCAAGATGAAACGAGAAGGCGGATATTCACTTTTGTCCCACAGACAAAAGAAAACCTATTTCTCTGGACAATTGTCGACTGCACTGAATTTTGAGAAAATTTCTAAGCAAATATCCCCAGCTAAATACATCACAAATTAATTTTGTACCAAATAATGTTTCTTACTATTTGCTTATAATTATACATACACTGAAGTAGATTAATATTCTATATATTTTTTAATCTGGTGTAATTCCAACAAAAATATGATGAAAAATATATACATAAATTAATATATTCAATTCGAATAATATACTTTATGACTCCTTTTTACTGAATCCTTCAATAAAAAGGAAAAGCTGCTAGCAGTGTTTCTTGTCTTGGAGAATGCATTTGATTATACCTGGAGAAAGCTAATTTTAGATATCCTATTAAGTTTCGGTATTACTGGTAATATTATGAAATTCGTAGAAAATGTTTTGAAAAATAGAAGTTTTAGAGTCAGGTACGGTGGTACTCTCTCAGGCTAGTTTGCCCAAGAAAACGGGGTGCCGCAAGGTTGTGTATTAAGTGCTATGTTGTTTTGCGTTGCCATTAATAAAGTCTTAGAGTGTGTCAATTTCCCAGTTGAAGTAATGTTGTATGCTGACAACATAGTTTTATTTGGTACCAATTAAAATATTGAAACCCTTTAACACTATATGCAAAATGCAATGATGTAAGTAAGTGGTTGTTAGAAAATGGCTTTAAGATTTCAATGTTGAAAACTGTAGCTGTCCTTTTTGCTCAAAGATGACCTACTACATTACCGGCCCTGCACATTCTCGGAAACAAAGTTAATTTTGCTGACTCTGCTCAATATTTCGGTCTAACTTTTCATAGGACTCTAAATTGGTTGGTTTACCTTAAAAGGCTTAGAGCAAATTGCCTTCAAAATATGAATTTGCTAAAGACTATAAGTTCAACTTCATGGGGAGCTGACCGTGCGAGCCTTTTAAGATTATATAAAAGTATAATACGATCTAGAATCGATTGTGGCTGCAATGCGTATGGTTCAGCATTAGAAAGTAAGCTCAACTGTTTGAACCCAATCCAAAATACTTGTTTATGATTGGATACAGGGGCCTTTCGATCAATGCCCGATAAATAGCCTACTGGTTGAAGCTGGAGAATTGCCATTAGCGTACAGGCGACAGTTTCTTGACACTAAATTTTTTGTTAAAATCATATCATCTCCACTACACCCTTTGAATGATTTATTTCCAAATAAAAACATCATCTCCCTTGAAAACTGTGATAGCAAAAAGAAACATTTCGCTGTACGCTTCCTTATTTTTACACAGTCAAACCAACACCATTCCAGCATTACAAACTATCTCTGTCTCTACATCTCCCTGGCTTTCACCAAAAGCTAATTGTCAGCTACAACTTGCTAAACTACAAAAGGAAAACATCCCACCATATGTATACAAACAAAATGTTTTAGAAATCCTAGCTAACCTTCCGCATGCTACCTTAGCATTTACTGATGGGTCGAAAAGCTCAAATGGAGTAGGAGCTGCTTTTACATCCAATGATAGGAAATATCTTTTCTCTCTTTCTCCAATGTGCAGCAATTTTAGTGCTGAGCTAGTGGCAATACATAAATGTATACATANCTAAAAATATTCCGTAGGTAACAAAATGTTACCAAATTTCGAAGTTATGAGATACACTGATTTATAAAGTTTGTAAGTTAATGTAACCTACAAAAGTATATTATAGTCATAGAAACAGAACTAACCTTGACTGTGATAACTTTAACCCACCACAGATTCATCACATTTCTTAATTATTATGTTTACTCATTTTTCAGAATTCAAAAGTGTAAATGTATTTAAAAAACATTAACAGGTGGTGGTGAAACACATAAGTATTTATTTAACAAGATGGAAAGACAGTCAATTATACCTTTTATTTCTTCTTTCTTTATTTTTTCACAAATTGTAAAGAGATAAAATTTTCTAATCCAAGAAGATGCAAATGACAAAAAGAGGAGTGCCTCCTGGGCCACAGGAGCATCTGATACAGGCATACCTTGAACTGTCGAGTGCCACAGTGCAACTAACAGACTCGCTATCATTTAAGAAATGACGAGCTTAAACTAAATTGGAAGCAGTACCTAAGATACACATCGTCATGGCTTAAAAATACGCCTGACGTTTGAAAAGCATGGAACCAATAGTTGTGACTCACAGATGTAACTGTGGAGTTGAGGGTTATTTACTGACAATTTCAAAATTTTTGTTTACTAATTGTTGTTATTGTTTTGGTAAAACTTACACTTTTATCAACAATATTCTTTTGTTTATCTTCTTACATAAACCACACAAAACCTTTTGAAAAACTAAAATGAGTGGAATGAACATTAAACAAAAGTTTGTTCAAAAAGTGAGGAGCGGTTAGGAATGAAGTATTTTAGACAAACACCTCTTTTATGTTTTTCTGATGTTTTGACCTTTATTTGGGTCATCTTCAGGGCAAAAAGTGTGGCACTATTCTTGTGGTGTCATGTTTGTTTGTGTGATATTATGATAATTTTCAATTCACAACATTTTCATAAGAACAAACATGACACCACAAGAATAGCATCACATTTTATAGTCTAAAGATGCCCCAAGTAAAGGTCGTAACGTCGGCACAAAAAGGAAAAAGGTGTTTTTCTAAAATACTTTATTGCTGTATATGTAGATGTATTAGTTGGGATGTGTATTATACTGCGCCTTTTAAGAGCTGTGCTTTATTCCTCACTACTTCAACAAATTATTAAACAACTGGTCACTAAATAACACACATTAAACAAAAGAATTCAAGGAACTTAAAGTACACCAACAAAAAACCAGTTTTAACAAAAACAATGGTGACTCACTATTATAATGAACTCCTTTGGCAAATTTCCTTTGAAGATTCTGTGACATTGTCTGGTGGCTGTTGGCATTATTAAGAGGAGGGGCACTTTCAATTTTTGGCCCTGCCAACTTCTTCAAAGCAGAAAACATCTGAAATGTAAATTTAATTCATTATTATTTAAACTATAATTTATTTTGTTTTAAAATATACACCTTTCCACAAGTACTGGTTATGTTAGTGACATGCCAGGGCTATCTATTTAGTTGTCATAGCTGACGGACTGCATGAGAGACTAAGGCCCACAACACACTGGATTAGTAAAAACAGCATGAGGCTGCTACAGGCCGTTTGAAGCACACCAGGATGATCATTTTATGGTTGGTTCAGGTTGGTGCAAGCAAAGCTCCTAGGAGAGAAAAAGCCTGTGCTTGAAGGGTACAAATGGGAGTCCTCTGGGCTTTGCTAAAAAGCCTTAAGCTTAAAGTAGCTCTAAAGAATGAAGATGTACAATAGACCAATACTGGTCGCAGTGCACAGGTCATAACGAAGCTATTGTAATATAACTATTAATGGAAATGAGTCCACTTTGAATTAGTCCTTTGAAGATCAAGCAACTCAGGGGTTTGTTCTGCCCTACTTAAGAGAGTAAACTCAGCTCTAGTCCAATGATATAGAACAGGAAACAAGTTCTACTGCAATAAGGCATTAGACTCTAACACTAGATCACATAGGAGAGTTGCATTTTGACCAACTTAACCCAGCATATATCCTAACCCTTGTACCTTCTGATTTCCCCCTATTTCATGGTGAACTTCATCTATGGATTTTAACACGTTAGCGTGACCAAGTTATAGAAAATTATGGTTATAACGACTTGTTATTTAACACTAGCATTAAATATAGAATGAATAAGGAAGCGAATTTGAAAGAACAAAATGTATTTTTAACAGCCCCAGCTCCGATTGCAAAAATTAAATGGCCCAGAAATTAGAATGTTCATGAACGAAATTTACTTACCCTAGTTCGCACGAACTAGTGGAACTGTAGGTCAGCAATCACTGAGATATCTTGAGTAGAAATGACCTGATATATATGTTTCCATATGAACGGGTCCGGACGTCAATCCTACACCACCGACTTGCTCCTTTATATTAAAAAAGTAGTGAAAAAATTTGTATTATGCCTTGCGGTTATGGTTTTGGTCGAATCATATGATTTAGAACGTTGTTTCTATTCGAGAGGTTGCACAAGTCACAAAGGTTTGTTTGTTTGATTTGTACAACGTTCACAGTAAAAATGTCAAAACACATGATCGACTGGTCGGCCATTGTGACGTCACATTAAGGGTAATTGGTGAAGTACCGATCATTTGTTTTACTTGTAATTAAAGCCCGCATTTATTTTCAATAAAAAATCTCAAATATTCCAAATAATTTGGCTAAACATATTAAAATATCCATCATGAATGCCAGAGTCATACCAAACTAATAAATAAATAATTTCTTTTTAATTTTCAATTTGACTTTATTTGCCCTAGTACATATTCATTTTGTTCGTGTAGGTCCCACCCTGTTCTCCGTCCTTCGCGCCTATTTCTAGAAACTCGAGTAAAAAGACAAGAAGTCCTCTCACTCGTACTTCCACTTAATCTCTTGGTCTGTATTTTCCCACTTTGAAGGGAGGAGTCTCGATCAGTTTCTCTGAAACGAATCTCCCAAGCTAGTGATGGTAAAAATGATTCTTTTAAGTGAATCGATTCCCTTCGCATTCAATCCCTGGGGGTGAGTCGATTCTTTTTTTCGATTCACCCCCACTCCAGTTACAAGTGCTTTACAATTGCTATTCACGCCGAAGCTGCAGCCGTAGAAGTCAGTAGTTGGACAAGGATAAATCGCCAAAACACTTCCCCAAACCAAATCTGCACTCAAAAAAGATTATGGTGACTGTTTGGTGGTGTACTGCTGAGGTTGTTCACTATAATTTCCTGAATTTTGGTGAAACTATCACAACAGAGAAATTTTGCCAATAAATTGAAAAAATGCACGGGAAACTGCAACGTGTTTTGTCCAGCATTTGTAAACCGCCGAGAAGGGAAACCCCCCACCACGATTGTTTAGAGTCATCTATAAAGACCGGAATAAATAAATAATAGCCAAATAAATAAATTAACAAACAAATAAATAAATAACAACATCAATTAGTTAATATTCAATTCTCATATGGTTAACGCGCACTTAAATATAAATTTTAACAAACATAAGTAGATGCCTTTATTTTTTGAGGCCAATAAAGTTTTGTAGTTGAAAGGCTTTTCGATGTCTTTCATTTCATACATTTTTACGAACCACCATTCTCTTTGTAGCGCATATCTTTTGCAGATCATCATTGCGTGCTCAAGATCATCTTTCACAAAACATCGTTCGCATTTGCTATTCTCGCGCTTTCCGATTTTATATAGGTACGCGCCACAGGTCCCACGGTTCGCCCTGAGTCTGGCAATTTATTGGACAGTCCTTCTTTGTCATTCCTGAATTATAAAACCAAGGATACCGATTAATGTTGGGATTTATGGATGTAAAAAAATGCTCCTGTGTGTGTAGGCTTTCGTTTTCTTTAATCCATTTTTGATTCACCATCTTCTTGATTTGGGGAATAGGAATAACTAGAAGCTCACCCTCATGAATAGCCCGCTTAGCCAGGCCATCAACCACCGTGTTACCCACAATACCAGAGTGGCCTCGCACCCAAAAGAAATGCTGTTTTCACCCCTTTGTTCTTTTTCAAGTCGAGAATTCTTTTTGCCACCCAAATGACCAGCTAGCTGCTAACGGTTTTAAGGTTTATGTTTTTTAAGGCATCCAACGCCCTTTTCAAATCTTACAGTATTAAAATTCTTTCGCAGCTTAAATTGCTTTCGCATGCATATTCGATGGCTTTATAAATTGTTAAAACATCAGCTGAGAAGATAGTAAATTGTTGTGGGAGTTTTTACATTTTCCATTTTCCTCGTTGGGATCATACCAGGAACACCCCGTTCCTTCTATGGTCCTAGAGCCATCAATGAAAATGAAATATGGATTTGGGTGTATTTCCGCAATGTCAGTATTGAACATTGAGTTAACCACCCATGTAGCGGTTTCTGCATAATCTCTCAACGATTTCACATTCTAGAGAATTCAGTCTAGAGCAAAAGGATTCGTATTCCAGTTCAAACACTGGACAAATGTTCCCTTTGTACAGCGATGTTACGAGACCAATTATTTCTAAATATGCGTCTACTAGAGGGGGGAGGCTTTTTCTTTTCCCAAAATTTTTTTGTTAACACCTCTATATTTAAAAACGTTATTTTTTATAAGTATCGCTGGTCAAGGAATAATTACTTAGGACAAAATTGGAAGCTAATCGTTCAATATGTAAAAGCAGTGGGGGTTCACAACTTTCCATATCTATTACTTTTATTGGAGTGTCTGACAAACATCCCAACCATCTTCTCATGCATTTATTTCCGAACACACTTAGGTGATTTAAGTGTACTTTGCTGGCGTTACCGAAAAAAAAAATCGATCCAAAATCTGTTACACTGCGTATGCATGACCTATAAAACAGTAGAGTTGTGTCGGGATCGGCTCCCCATCTCTTTGAAGAAAAACACCTGAGAATATTTAAATATTTTTCCCCTTTGGCTATGATCAGGGAGATGTGTTTTTTCCACAACAACTTTCTGTCAAGTGTTAGGCCCAGAAATTTGACAGACATGCAAACTGGTATGGTGAAACCGCCCAAACAAAGCTCCCTAATGGAATAATCCTCTTTTTTGAAAAAGGGCATAATTGCTACTTTGTAAGCGAAATGGTTAAATTGTTATTTTTTGTCCAGTTTGAAAATTCCATCATAGCTTCATCCAAAGCTCGAACCCCTGCCCCTATCGATCTGTTTGTTGTGTGAAGTCATATGTCATCAGCATATTGTATTACGCTAATGGAGAGGGATATGAGTTTTGAGATCAAACCCATATATTAGGAACAGTATAGGGCTCAAAACTCCTCCCTGAGGGAGACCTTGATAAGTCCGAAATGGTCCTAATGTCACGTCATTTATTTTAAATATCACTTCCCTGTACTTCATAATATTTAAGATGTTTTGGATCATATTGTCAGGAAGCCCTAAAGTCGACATTTTACTACCTAAAATAGTATCATAGGCATCATGTTAACAGTATCATAGGCTGAAGAAATATCTACAAATAGAGCTATCAACGGCTACATATAACAAATTAAATTTGCTTGCGCATTTTGTACCGAGAGCCCTTTTCTAAATCCGAATTGAGAACTTGGAATTAATTGGTACTTTTCCAACCACCATTGTAACGATTCTTTATCATCTTTTCATACGTCTTCAGGACGCATGAGGCCAATGCAATAGATCGGTATGATGTTGCGAGACTGGGATCCTTCCTTGGTTTCCGTAGTACTGTAACCCATGAGGACTTCCAGGATTGGGGAGTTTGTTCCTTCCCATGCCATAATTCATTATACACCTTAAGAAGCAGGTTTTTTACATTTTCTTAAAGATTTGATAACATAGAATAATGAATTTGATCTTTCCCAGGAGCAGTATTATTTGAGATTTTCAAAACTAGGTTTAGTTCGGGAATGGTAAAAGAACCGGTTAATAAAGGGTATGTCTTGTCATTTGAAATGCAACTCTCTAACATAGGACCCTGGGGACAAAGAGTTTGTATAAATGTTTCCGTCCAAGGACCTACTGTTGTAGGACTGTAGGGATTTAAACCATTTTTTAGGGTTTTTAATTTTAACCAGATGACGCTAGTCGGAGAACTCCTATTCTACGAGGAACAGTAGTTTTGCCAGGAGACCTTTTTCGCACTTTTTGTTACGCTTTGAAATTGAACATGTTTTTGTCGGTATAAGACGACGGTGAGTTTTTGAAAATTGTGAGTGCATTTTATTACTCGCCTTACTGGCTCAATAATTGTTTGTTTCTGCCTTGGAGATGACTATGTTTAGGAATATGTGCTTCACTTGCTTTGTTTACAATATCCTCAAAGGTTTCATAGGGTGCCCCTTCATGGTTGATTTTTGTTGTCAATGCCAGTGTTTTATTCTTAAACTCGTTCCAATCAGCCTTCTTTATGTTCCATTTGTGATTTAGTGAAACTATCTTAGAAATTTCTATATCTGCTACCTTTAAAAGTATCGGAAAGTGATCTGAGCCCATGGGGTCTTCCAACACTTGCCAAGCCCCTTTTGCAGCTTTATCCGAACTTACGAATGTCAAGTCTACAGCTGATTTTCTTGACAAACACGTCGGGGTAATGTGGGTGGGAGATCCGTCATTTAAAAAAAAATTATGACTAGCTGTGGAATCTGTTAGTGCTTTACCTCCAGAGTCAGACCAGTCCGACCCAAATGCGGAATGATGAACATTAAAATCTCTGGAGCGTAAGAGAGATTTGGTTCACTTATTCAGAAAAGAATCCCAATTCCGTGTACTGAGCCTATTTCTTGGGTTATTGTAAACAGAAATAATAGTTAAAGGTGTAGAATATTTTTTTAAATTGACCTGTATGGATGTGGCTATGAAATTTGGCAGTCTATAATTTAAATTAATTGATGAGAAGGCAGTTGCGTTTGTTCGGGCGCGTCTCCGTCACCGAAACAATCTTCTTATTAATTTCAACTCTTACCTCCGGCGGTGTTCGTCGGCGCCATTTTTTATTTGGCTGCTGGCGAACAGTGTTCCTCACAAGTAATCCGACACCTCCATAGCCATCGTTTCTATCTTGGCGGATGAACTGAGAACCAGGTTTCTGAAAGTATAACTTGAAACAACTGAAAGTATTGAAAGTATCAATCGCTAGTCTGTCAATAAGTTCTTCCAAGGAATCTTTTTTTGAAATTAAAGACCTACAGTTCCATTGTAGTATTTGTAAATTTATGCTTGAGTTACTCATAATGTTTATTTGATTTATTGTACACTGTTTATATTGTGTAACTTTGGTTCCAAATATATCATGTGAAATGAAGTTTATTTAAGTTTAAGCTTATGAACCAATAGTATTAACGTATTAGTTAAGTTTTAAATTTGGGTTTATTAGATTCATGTCATTTATTAATTGTCGGTAAGCTTGCAATACAGGTGTAAAGAAATCGTCTTCTGCTCCGTCTGTTTTGTTCTCTAGTTCTGATAACGTTTTTTGTAATATGTTTACATATAATGACTTGTTTATATGAGAGAATGTAGAATGTGGGTTAGTCTTTGG